TGGCCGGAAAGGTGCCAACAGCAGCCCCCACTGTGTTTCAACTGGTTTCTGAACAACTGGACGAAATTTGCATAATGTATGGCCAGCTTAGAGACGAGATACAATATAACGCTACAGAGAATTAGCAGATAAATGTTACTATTGCAACTACAGGGATCCCCAGAGTAGCAATGGTTACACTTATCTACTAATTCAGTAGAACTGCTGTAACTCCTGCTATAGAAAAATGTATTTATTTCCTATGATCCTCCGCTCCATCTAGTGGCCATAATGTGGTATTTTCCTGATTGACTGCTGCCCATAATATTTGAAAAACATTTGGCCAGAAGAGAAAATAGCCTAAGAACAATTGATTTTTGCCCCATTGTCACAACAGCTGGTTAGTTCACACAGTACAATAGTACATGCAGTTTCACTGGACGAATACCAATGATGTTTTTTTACAAATAGACCCGTAAGTGTCGGCCTTCCATAGAAGACCCTGTATGTAGAACTTCTTTACTGACGGTTATGAAATTAGTGATGCACAGATACTTTTCGAGTACCAGTGCAGATACTTGGCATTTTCATGAGAACTACCAGGGTTGCAGCGGTTGCAGCTGGGACCTGGCTCTGGCACTCGACCACTGTCCTGAAAACATTAGTCTGTATTGATTTAGAAAAACTGTCACATGACAATAACCAATAATGTATCAGTATTTGTAAGTACTCGGCAAGTACCAGTACTTGAACTCACAAAACTGGTATCTGTGCATCCCTTTATTTATATTTATAAAAACAAAATCATACATTAAAACAGAGATGTACAAATCCCAGGAGCTCCGTGTGCTCCATACAAATGACAGCCGCCTCCTAACTTTTGAAATTTTCTCTAGTCTAGTCTTGGAGCTCAAAAGTATCGGTACATGTACTCGTACTTGTACAGAGTACTGTACTTGGTATCTGTGCAACTCTAGTTATGATACCTTGTGACAATGAGAAACACATATTGTATTTAATTGTTTTGTTTTATTTTTAATGCATTCAAACATTGTATCAAAATGAATCACATGATGGTAATGAATAGTATACTGCAAGTCTTGTGTTTAGGTTGCTATACATGAATTTATTTTGATATCCTGATTCATTCTCTTCCTCAGTGCGCACCTCCTCTAGTGGTTGCAGCAAACATTGATGAAAAGACTTTAAAGCGGGCTGGTGTCTGTGCAGCCAGTCTGCCCACCACAATGGGAGTTGTAGCTGGAATACTTGTACAGAATGTTCTCAAGTAAGTCACTTTATAGAACTGGACCTAACTTTTTCGCATGCACATTCACTTACACAGCCAATAAGAAAGGACCCCAACCGGTTAGGTTTGTTAAAGGGAAATTGCAGTGTAATTTCAATGAGCACATTTTGTTTTTGTGTTATACTGTAATCCCAGTGTTTAATTTTGAATACTCTTTGTTAGATTTCACCATGTTTGAGTTTATTATTTATTACAGGCATTTTTAAAGCGCTGACAATTTACATAGCACGTTGCATACGTTATACATTCACATCAGTCTCTACACACATACTAGGGCCAATTTAGACAAGAGCCAATTAGCCCACCAGCATTTCTTTGAAGTGTGGGAGGAAACTGGAGTAGTCAGAGGAAATCCACACATGCAAACTCCATGCAGATAGTGTCCTGGCCAGAATTGGAACCAAGGACAACAGTGCGGCAAGGCAGAAGTGCTAAACAGGGAGCTCTGTATTCCAGTACAGCCAATCAAATCTCCTTGCCTAACAGCAACTGGTGAAATAGCACGTTGGCAATCCAGGGACTATACTGATTTCAGGAAGTTGGACTTCTCAAAGGCTTGCATTGTAACATGGAGCAGTAAAGCACAATTGTTGTGTAGCACTGCAAAGCAAGAAGCAAAACCTGCATATGTAGTAGCTTGCAGAACAATATCACTCATGTGGCTGTTGTAGGCATATTTATTGCCATGCATTCTAGTTGTCCTTTTTTTTTTTTTCTGGTCTGTATGACACCCTGCATCATATAAGCTGTGTGTCAGCAGCCTGCCTATCAAAGACCATTCACGTAGCACTTTACATATGTTGTACATTCACATTAGTCTCTACACACATACTAGTTAGACATGAGCCAATTAGCCCACCAGCATGTCTTTGAAACTGGAGTAGCCAGAGGAAACCCACACATGTAAACTCCATGCAGATAGTGTCCTGGCAAGAATTGGAACCAAGGACTCCAGTGCTGCAAGGCAAAGTGTCCTTTGTAATCCTCAGCACTGGTGTTATCATCACAGAGCTGGAGTCCGCCATCGGCATTACCAGAAGCCATCTGCCCACCAACTAAGGGGTACATGCTTTGATGCAGGAGAAATATAGCTTCCACGTAGCAGCATGTCACTGCTATGCAGTGCCCCATTCCACTGCTCTCCCCAGCAAAGAGATTGGCTTTCTGGAGGTCTAGTCACCATAACTTTAAAGTCATTTCCAGGTACTTATTTAAGTAAAGATTGATTTAAATAATCAATGTTCTCCTGGCACAGCAGGCAGAGGGAATGCTGGCAGGACCGATAGATTCATCCTGGAGCTGTGACTCAGAGGTTGATTGCAACACATTTTAGGAGCCATCCGTATAAATGTCCAAGTTATGCTAAAGAGTTCACATTATTTACAGGTATACACATAAAAAGCTGGATTAGCATGGGCAGTACACAGTTAATGTTGTAGTTGGAACAATGTCTTGCTTGTAGGATCTCAGTATCCTTCTTTTTTCCTGTAGATATCTCTTAAAGTTTGGCACAGTGAGCTTCTACTTAGGATACAATGCAATGCAGGACTACTTTCCAACTATGTCAATGAAGCCTAACCCATCCTGCAGTGATAGATACTGTTTGCAACGGCAGGAGGAATTCAAGGTAGACCTATTGTTGTGTTCAGTTAAATGTGGTCTCTTGGCATATTTTACATTTCTTTAAAAATTATTTTAGTGCTACAGCTCATGAAATATACGTGTTGTTTTCCATGACATACAGTACTGCATATGTTGATACATGACTTTTCCATTTCTATGAAGCAGTCACTGTTTCTCTGATGCTGAGAAGTTCTCATGTTAATCCATTATATCTAATCTGGGTGACCAGCTATCTAACGGCTTGTGTCAGTGCGCTTTTATTTGCTTCAAACAGGCTTTTTATTTCCATACAAGTCTTATGCAAATGCATGCCAGAAGGAGGTCAACTGCAAGTCAAATGTACCGTCAATGAATTCTGAATGATGTCGGAAGCATCTCATACTGATTTGAAACCAATGCCATCAACACAAGCCCAAATGAACCTTTGCACCTGATCCTCGATCCCACTTGGCTGCTACACCCCGCAGCCTCTTCTCCCCCCGTGCTCCAGCGATCTTAGGACTTGTGACGTCATCACATTTAATGCAACTGCATTAGACGTGAAGATGCCAAGAGACATTCTACCGCCAAAGCAGAGAGGGGGAGAGAGGTCAGCAATCACTGCCACAGGATCGATTATTTTATTATTTTAGCACCCAGACCAAATCAAGCCATTAACCCATTTTTCGATTGCCTGGAATTCTTGTTTGAAACTATTTGATTGCAAAATGTTGGGACGTTTTCCTGTGTTTTTGGTTTTTAAAGAATGGATTTTCTTATGTTATCATTGAAATATAACAATTTTTTCTATCACTTTTATATTGCATGTTTTTGAGGCATTTATATTCTTTAATGTGTGCTAAAATGATATTTCTTATCCAGTTAAAAGAAGCTGCAACGCCTAAACCTGAAGTCGTGGTTAAAGAAGAAACACCTGTTGTGCACGAGGAAAACAATTGGGGTAATGACTTAAACTAAGTGTAATGTACATTTATTAAGGCGAATCTGTTCTTTTTCCATGTAGGGAAAGTTAATTTAACAGTGTAGCGTGCGGTGAGC